ACACACACACACACACACACACACACACAGTGCAATATTATACATTGTGGAAGTTGCCTTTTTGGCGGAAAAAAAACGAGCCGAAAACTTCTCACATCAAGACTCTTTGAGTCGCATTTATTAAACAAGAGCCAACATGGCGCTGTGTATGCATAGAACAAAAACCCGCCTCCAAAACGTCATCACTCTTAAAGAGACAGCAACTATTACCTGGATCATAACATTATACCTAACGGAACCATAACAGAAAGTGAATTATGCAGTCAGTATTGGGAGCACTATAACATACTTATTTTTATTTTTGTTAACTAAAATTAGAACATGAACTAACTTTTAAGTCTGGAATATCTAATTCCACAACAGACTTGAACAGATAATGTGTTCTTCACTGAAACATCTAATATATTTGTACTACATACCAGGTGGTCCAGCTGGAATATAGGCTGGATTCTCTGACTCTGTGCTTCCTTCTCTCCTTCAGTTTCCTCTGAACTGTCCTCTCTCTGTCTGACTCTGAAATCTTCTCTTCTTCATCACTCATGCTGACATCACTTTCCTCATCTTCTTCACCTCTATCTTCCTTCCTCATTTCTCAGTCTCTTCTTCCTTCTCATCCCTTGCTTTTTGCAAAAAATAAAAATAAATAGAATAATAACTGTCAATACCGTTACATTTAAATTTCTTTTTCATTTTGGTCTGCAATGTGCAAGCATCAAGATTTTTAAAAATTAGACCATTATTATCATTGTAGGGGTAGACTTATGTAAAATAAGCCTCCTTACATCTCATAACTTAGTTATGAGAGAAGTTTTTACCAAGGTATTTTCTCATTACTTTAATATTTTGACTGTGCAAAGTGAAAAGTGACACAATAACGGAACGTTCAGACGAGTTCAAGTTGATTCATAAAAGATTATGCAATCATTTATTTACACAACTTGAACAGATCATAAGTTACACCTGATTGTGGGTTTTCCTATAACAAGCGTCAGAGTTAAAATGAGGTAAAATTCGAGTCCGAATTTCAATTCACATCAAACTCAGATTACTTATATATAGAACAGTAAAACATCAGTTCTGATGTAACAACCAAACTATTTTACTGGCACTTTTAACTTAAGTTTGGCAAATAAAGGATAAGAAAAGGGGTGAAAATAAGGTTAGTGTTTCTGCTTTTATTTTTGTTAAGGGTATCAACCGGATCAGCAAGTCCCCTCTGCGCTCAGATTTCCACATGACACGTCACCTGGAACACGACAGGGTTTACCTGTTGCTGGCTTCTTGACCACACCCCAGGCAAATACTGCCTCACCTCAGACCAGTCAGGGAACGTCCGTTCGGCCCGCTCACTGCTCCTTGGCGAGAAAGTGTTTATTTTAGGCAACTTTTCGTCTGCTTCGAACTTCGCCAGAAAGATTGGAGGTGAAGCTTCCGGTTCGTCCTTCTAAATAAAAGTTCTCCCCTCGGGAGTTAAAAACACTTAGAGACCTGAGTCTCAATGTGGACAGTAGCGGCGTGCTACTGTCC